GACTCTATAATAAGTCGATGTCGTCGATATCGACAATATCATGACGATATCGTATCGATATCGATCCTATTTGCACAATCTATTTTGACATTGAGGTATAACATAATTTTGGAAAGTCACAAGTGAAGTCCAAATTGATTCCTTATTGGATATAAAAATAAATTAATATGATAAAGAAAATTTTAGGGTTGTTATTGTTTTAGATTAGATTAAAAGTAAGATATTGGATTAGTGTGAAAATTCTTGAAAATATTGTAACAATCATGATTCGATATCGACACGATATCGTCGATATCGACGATATCGACAGTAAGTAAACTGTTTAAACACAGAAGTGATGTAAAAATAAAGTTTTTATATTAGGATAAAGATTGGTAAAGTAATATGCTCTTAACAATCATGAATCGATATCGATACGATATCGTCGATATCGACGATATCGATGGCAGGTAAAATCTTCGTAAAAGTAAAGTATTTAAGCATCAACACATTCAAAAAAACAGGGAAGGTATTTACCAAGAACTCAGCAAACATGATTCGATATCGAAGCGATATCGTCGATATCGACGATATCGACACACCAGGGAAAGATTTATCAAGAAATTTTTAAGTAACAGTTGTTAAAAACACCATATTAAGGATGGAAATCACAGTTCCTAGAGCAACCATGATTCGATATCAGCACGATATCGAGGATATTAACAGTAAGGAAATAGTCTTAAAACAAAAAGTATTGTAATATACACATGAGAATATAGAACTATTATAGTAAACTATATAAAAGTAATGTGTCGATATCGTAACAACATCGTGTCTTGGACATAACTCGTTTGTTTAGGGTCCAATAAGAAAGACATGTGACTTATAATGCCAGGCCTTATAAATACCTGTACCTTCAATTGTAAAAATATTGTAGATTCCCTCCATTGGCGTCTCAACTAAGGGAAAATATGACCAATTTGGTTCAAACATGAAACCAAGACCGGCATAATTTTATTTTATGTAAAAGCCTGTGTGTTCATAATTAAAGCTAAAGAAGGATTTAAAGGCTGTAGTTAAGTATTCTCAAACACATTTTTATCCAATTTTGCCTAACTAAAGGGTCTTAACAAAGCCACTGGACACAAAGGTCATGCATTTCACAAATTTGCGGACTCTGTCTCCAAGGGTAGTGGGATAATGATATTGACGTTTTCCAGTTTACTAGTCATTTAAGAATATGGTAATACCTTAATAAAATAGTTTAAATCGGCCCAACCATTACACAGAACGACTAATTTTTTTTTTTTAAAAATGTATCATACATCATCCTTATACAAGATGTCAGGTGATCTAGAAAACATGCATGTCTATGATAGAAAAACCCTCTTTCATACTCCCATCCCATTTGTTCTGCATCAAGCATGAAAAGACTGAACTTTTTATTCCAGTTTAACTGTAACATATCTAATTCCACAAGTTGAACTCAATACATTTATTACATTGACATGTGCTCTTAATCCTAATGATAATGGTAAATAATGTGATTTACACATTTTAATGCCCATATTAAAAGTGTAAAATATGTCAAGTCACAGTAGATTTTGAACTAGTATTTATATCTTCAGAACACTTCAACAAGGACTTAAAATACCTAACAGGTAATAAATACAGGTGCCACGAGATCAAAGTACATAGAGATAGTCTATATATAGATTTAACCTCAACAGGACACCCACAAGGTAATAATTTCCTTTACTTGTGATTCTTGTGTATATTCACCTGCATGTAAAAATTAAAAAGGATGAAACTGTGCTACTATAAGAAGTTGGTTGGGGGGTGTCAAGTAATATTACATGAGTCAAATTATCAAATTATTATTGGCCTTAGAGTTACCATGAGATCTATCACTATATACCGTATATACATGTATATGTTTTGAATAATATCAATATTTTCATAAAAACATGTAAAATCATAAATCTTTTCCAGTCAAAGTAGACAAGTTGAGCAAAGGGAGATTCTACAATTTATACCAGCACTGTAGCTGACTTGAAGATGTTATTCATACCCCCACCCTCCCTCTCCACAAACACAGTGGTTAGAGCATCTGCTCTAAAGTTGCTAAGTAAGGAGTCAATCCTTCGTCACGGTTTCGAATCCCACTGTGGGATGTAGAGACCGAACCATTGAATGAGACCGTATAAACCCAGGTCATGTGTTGCAGTAGGTTATGGCACAAAAAGATCCCTCCCCGCTAAATTGCCCTAAGTACTATATAGGACAAAATTTGCAGCTATTCACTAGCAAATATGTGGCCTCTCCATATGAGTGCATAATTCAAAACACCCTTAAACAACATACAAACAAACAAAATTGTCTAGTTGTATCATTAAACATTTACAATAAAACTCGGTTATAGCGAAGTATCTGGGACCTGTGAATTTAATTCGCTATATCCGCAATTTGTTATATCCGTATAACGATTTCGTAGAACTATTATAGAGAATTCGCAATATGCATGTTTTCCATCAAGCATTACTACCAAATGTGTTATGGAAGCAAATACTATAAACATATCTTCGATTACTAAGGTTTTATTATGAATTGAATTTTATATATAAATGCTAAAAGAAAATAAAGTCAGTTCAATATATCAATATTTTATAATCTTAAGATGTTCGTTATAAAAGATTATACTAGTATATAATTATATTTAACCTCAACAGGACTAAAAATCAGTTCGCTATATCAGTAAATTCGTTATATCAGAGTTCCTTATAACCGTAAAATTTTAGAAAGATTTGTTAAGAATTTTGCCGGGGACCCAGAAAAACTTCGCTATATCCGTGAATTCACTATATCCGTGAATTCACTATATCCGTGTTCATACTAAACGAGTTTAACTGTATTGACTGAGTTCGAGGGCGTTTTGTCGGACCCAAGAACCAAACTGTCTGTCTGAGGTCGTTAGGCCGAAGGCAGACAGTTTGGTTTGAGGGTCGACAAAATGCATTTTGCCCGAAACACAGTCAATAAATGTGTAGTTATACCTTTCATTTTAATTTTCTTTTTACATACATGGATTCTGTACTGTATATTGTGATGTAGCATCAGGTCCGTCACTTTTCAACACCAACAAATGAAAATGAGATAAAACTCTGATGATGATTCTGTGACGCAAGCGGTCCAATATCTCTTCGGCTGGTCCAACATCATTTTTGTCCCCTGCTTGAAAAGTGGGGAATGTTAATTTGGGTCTGTCCGTCCGTCCGTCTTTCTGTAACGCTTTCGTTTCCACACTATATCTTAAGATCCCTTTGAGCTTATGCAATGAGATTTTGCATAGCTACTCCCTAGGAGTTAAAAAAAACCTATTGATTTTGAGGTCAAAAGGCCATAGGTCATGGTCATAAATTCGTAAATTCTGTCTGTTATAACACTTTCGTTTCCGCGCGATATCTCAAGAACCCTTTGAGCTTTTGCAATGAAATTTTACGTAACAACTCCCTATGGCCTAAGGAAGACACCTATTGTTTTTGAGGTCAAAAGGTCAAAGTTCAAGGTCGTAAATTTATGCATTCTGTCTGTGCATAACCCTATCCTTTTCGGGCGATATTTCAAAAAGATTTTGAGCTTTTGAAATGTAATTTTATACCAAAACTGCCTGGGATCTCTCTCACCCCTCCCAAAGTGACCCGCCCCGTTTGTTTTATTAGCATTTATTGTATTACATGTCGTTATTTTCAGCACAGGGGCATGAGGAGAGTTATTACGTACAAAACAGGTTCTCGGCGGACTTTATATTTTTATTACATTTATTGGGACTGTTTATAAAAGGTTAAAATTAGACACCATGCATTGTGTAAAACTTTGACAATATCGAATGTGAATATATATACATGTATGTGACTTCATCTTTTTATATAATTTTCGCTAACTTAAAGCGGTTCCGTGGTGTAGTGGTATGTCTCTCGCCGCACATTTGAGAGGTCCTGGGTTCGAATTCCGGACGATCCACTTTTTTCCGAAATACTTTTTTTGTACTAGATGATAGTATTCAGCATGTGAAATGAAAAATATGAGGTCTGGCTTATACAAACTCATAAAATGATCATTACAGTTTGATAAATATTCCATATAAAAAGAATCTTCTATACACATAATAAAGAATAAGCAATCAAATGTTTATATTCATATTGGCATATTTTATTTGCTTCAGTATACATGTATACATTTAATAATTCTACCAAGTCAGTCGGGGGATTCGACTTCCCTCTTCCCTCCTTGCATATGGTTTACTTTTTCCCTTAGCTGGGGACACAATTTCTCTGAATTAGCTTGTTTTATGCCCTTTCAGCAAAACATCAGAAATGTTAGATTTTTTCCGTATAGATTTGTATAGGAACATATTCTAAAATGTATAACAATCACAATTATTATTCAATTTCAGGGCCTAGGGTTTAAATATGGATCCCAGTACCAGTGCCCAGGATGAAATGCGATGTGACCTGTGTCAGACCGCTGTGGTACAAATGCACTGTGATACATGTCTTGTCAACCTGTGTACTAATTGTGTAGGAAAACACATGATCTCTGATCAATCTATCAATCACAAAGTTGTCATTTTTCAGACCAGAAATTCTATGCCCCTCTACCCTGGGTGTGTAACTCATAACAAAGAAAGATGTAAAATGTATTGTAAGCAATGTGACATTCCTGTCTGCACTAAATGCATTGCATCTGATGACACCTTGGTCACAAATTATCAGAAATATTACAAATTCTAAATGAAAAAAGGGACAAATTCATCCAAGAACAGGCTAAATTAAATGAGACAATATTTCCAACATACCAAGACATTGCCTCTGATGTAAAACACAAAATGAGTCAGTTAAAAAAGGAATTTGGGGATCTCTCAACTATCATAACAAAACATGGAGAGGACTGGCACAGAGAAGTTGACAAACTTGTCAGGAAACGTAAAGCTGAAGTTAATGAGGTGAAAAATACACAGTTACAAACTCTACAAAAACATCTGGATGAAATAAACAAGGTAATGTCTGACATTAAGGATGATGTAAATTCACTAGAAGTTGCTTTAGCCTGCAAAGACATAACCAAAGTCTATAGTGTTAAATCCAACATAGAAAAATATAGTAAGCTTCTACCAGAAATTGAACCGTCTTTACCCAAATTCACACCAGGAAAAATTGAAGAATACTTCAGCAAACTGTTTGGATCCTTATCATCAGGTTTTTTAACTTCAGATAAACATGGCTACAGCATGAGGACAATACAGAAATCACCTCCAGTCAAACAGCTGCTTGATGAACCAGAAACTGACACCACCATAAACACTGTGTATGGATGGCTTTACAATGTGACCTGTCTGAGTGATGAAAAAATCTGGACAAGTGGAGGTGACGGCACCATGAAACTCTACAGCATCAATCAGGGATCACTACTCAAGTCAATCACAACCAAGTCAGGGTACACACCCTCTAACATAGCAGTCACAAAAAGTTGGGGTCTAGTGTATACTGATGACTATTATAAAACTGTGAACATTGTGAAGAATGAGAAAATAGAGGAGCTGATCAGACTTAAGACTTGGAATCCTCACAGTGTCTGTAGTACCTCCTCTGGTGACCTCCTGGTAATCATGATCAGTGATGATAGAAAACAAACAAAAGTTGTCCGTTCATCTGGCTCCACGGAGAAACAAACCATTCAGTTTGATGATAAAGGTAAACCTTTCTACTCCAACTCTCATGACAAATACATAAAAGAGAACAAGAACCTGGATATCTGTGTGTCTGACTATGGAGCTGGGGCAGTAGTGGTGGTCAATCAGGCTGGGGAACTGAGATTCAGGTACACTGGACATACTCCTGCTCCAAAGAGCAAACCATTCAATCCACAAGGAATCGCCACAGACAGTCAGAGTCACATCCTTACAGCTGATTATGACAATCGCTGTGTCCACATTATAGACAAGGATGGACAGTTCCTCCGTTACATAGGCTGTGAACTGAATGGACCCTTGGGACTGTGTATAGATACAAATGACAATCTGCTTGTTGTTTCATTTAGAAACAAACAAGTGAAAAAAATTAAATATCTGCAATAAAATCCATCTGCAATGTTTTCAGTTTAAACAACATAATTCCATTGGGGAATCACAATTTTTGCTTATGCACCGATAAAAAATTATGCACTGTAAGTTTTTATGTTTACAGTGTATAGAGCATGAATTAACCTTGAGCAGAATAAAGCATTTTTACAGTAAATGAACTGAGCAATATTCATATAGTACATGAAATACGTATAGGTATGGTACATGCTGGGAGAACTTAGCCTTTGATTTTGGAACAACATAGGTAATTTTCAAACACATCCCATACCTACCGACTTGGTAAAATGACAATATTTATCCAGTTAAAGTAAGCATGGTCCACAAATGAAAAAGAGATTCTACAATTTATACCAGCACTCCAGCTTACATTATTTTAACCCCCCCCCGCCCCACCCTTTTCAACCCATACATACACCCTAATACACAAAAGGGAAGAGAAGAATTCAACATTACTTTAGTTATAAACATTCAATTCAACATTGATGACAGAAGACAAACAAAAGTTGGATCAACAGAGAAGCAAACCATTCAGTTTGACGGATTACGTAAACCTCTCTACTCTAACTCTCATGACAAATACATAACAGAGAACAAGAACCTGGATATCTGTGTGTCTGACTATAAAACTGAAACAGTAGTGGTGGTCAATCAGGCCGGGAAGCTGAGATTCAGGTACACTTGACATACTCCTGCTCCAAAGAACCGACCATTCGATCCACTGAGAATCACTACAGACAGTCAGAGTCACATCCTTACAGCTGAATATAACAATGACTGTGTCCACATCATAGACCAGGATGGAAAATTCCTCCTTAACATAGACTGTGGACTGAGTACACCCTGGGGGCTTTGTAGAGATACAACTGACAATCTGTTTGTTGCTCAACATAGAAACAGACAAGTGAAGAAAATCAAACATCTGCAATAAAAACCATCTCCAACGTCAATTTCAGTATAAACAAGATAATTCAATGGAATAACACTTTTTGTTTGTGCATCGATAGAAAATAACGCACTGTATGTATTTATGGTGACAGTGTAAACAGCATAAATTAATATTAAAAAACATATATATTATAAAATCAATAATATAAGCAGAATAAAGTATTTTTACAGTATTTAAGGTTGGATTCTTCTATGGTTTCTGGGCAGATGAAATATTCAATGTATTTTTCATATGTCTAATATATTAAGGTGAAAGAGATTTATTAGAATGTAATTTTCACACCACATCACAATTGTACAACTTTAAATACATGTAGAAATGGTAAATTGTGTTCGAAAACTAGCAGGGGTTATATTTTTGGCGAAATGGTGGCGTATGAAAGTATCTTCTTTTCTGCCTCTCAAAATTATTACAGAACAACGAATTTAGTTATAATTTTTACACAATCAAATACTTGATGAATTTTTCAAATGTTAGCTAAAATAATAAGGGACAAAAGTTTTAAAATATGTCAAATAAATTTAATTTTCCAAAGAAACTACAATTATGTTAGCCTTTAAAAGCTTCAAATCTAAGTACAAATATGAGCCAGAAATCCGTATAAAGTGTTTTTACTATCTTAGTATATGATCAAATCTTTTTGTTTCAGTATCATTTTGTATCTCTATATGACATCTTTACCATATGTGAAAATAAGAAAAATTTAAATATAGGGCGCATATAAGTAACTTAAATATTCACAAAAAAAAAAAAATAGAGAAAAGGCCGTAATAAGGTCTAAGCAGCCCTTTTTTTGAGGATAGCTAAATTCGATGTCTAACTTTTTACTATACTAGTAAATGTGATACGTAAATGTAATATGGTACATTCTGGGTGAACTTAACCTTTGATTTTGGAATAACAAAGGTAATTTTCAAACACATCTCTTACCTACCTTTCAAGGAAAAATACTAAGTACTAGCACAAGAGTACTTTAAATTTTAAAAATTTGAACATTTTAGAGGAATTATTTTTAGGTGCATTTTGAGATTCTTTGCTACAGGTAGCTTTTTTTCCAAAATATCCGTAGAATACTTTTTCAACGGTTGTTGGTGCAACTCTTTTCTATTGTCTTTTAATTTCTAACTCTTACTTGGGGTTGTTGTGGTCCCAGTTCGATTATCTGAATTTTGTTTTTAATAAAGATGTCTCCAATCGTTCAGATCCATTTTTTTTTTATAATTATCAGACACAGACAATGTATTGCCCAAACTGAACATATATTGGAAAGAGGTAAATGTAGATATTACTCTCTTGATTGCCTAAAACTAAACACAGATGGTAAAGCAGTACATGTAGACAAAACTCTGTTAATCTTATTTAAAATATTTTAATAAACCAAAAGCCTTACCACAGTGTTCTGGAGTGAAGTCTGGGTTTTCACTAAGGTCCCCTGCCAGGGCTAGATCATTAACACAGGTGATTTTGTCTCTGAGGTCTGTCAACTTCTCACACCCCTGTACTAAAATAGTCTGGTCAAGGGAAAGCTGGAATGAAAATCAATCATTATGGATTTATGGAATTACAAGAAAAAATACCCGAAGCCAGCGACAAAAAAGTGGTGGCATAAATCCAAGGTTATTACAATTAACGCTTGGATCTGTATAGCTATCTGCTTTGTCTGTCCAAATTTTATCAAACAGAGAGCTACAGTTCTGCAACTACAAAGCAATATGCCCTCCCTTCTTCATAACGAAATAATTAATAAACAAATTAATGGTGGCACTGTAAATTATATCTGTTATTTATGTCTGTAAATGTACCAATTACACAGGTTTCAGTTTTAATCACACAAAGCTGATAATATATAATGAAATTTAACAAGTTTTCTCTCACTGATAAAAACATAGCCGTAACAATTGGTATAAAACAAGTCGCCAAGATACATTCAATGATCATAGGTATATCTGAATCACATGGCTTGATGTGTTTGCGATTCATACCTTCATGTTATGATTAGTGTTGTAAGGCTGGTGTACGTGGACAGTTATTATCACGTCTGGATTCTGGACACTATATTACTTGGGACATGTTTCTTTCTTTGATAGTGAAAACTTCAATGAAAAATGCAATGTACAATGAAATCAGACCACTATACTTAGACATGTCTGGATGTCTGCACGCGATATTCCTCAGGACATGTTTCTTTCTTTGGTAGTGAAAAATTCCACAAAAGATGCAAGGCACAATGAAATCACACCACTATATAATTAAACATACACAGCATGTATACCAAAGATGTGTTAAGGTGTATTGTTTTTTATTTGAAAATCAGTCAATTCCATGTATGGATAAAAATGGAGGTTGGGCCCTACAGAATTTTCAGGTTCTATACAAAAAAAATTACATTGCACCCCTCTACTAAAGAAAATTGACTTATAAAAATGTCCAACTTATCACCACCACAAAATAAAATTTTCCAGATTTCAGGAAAGTTGTTTTAGATGATCCTTGTTCTTATGTTTTAAGTAGAATAATCCTGCCTTACATTTATTATAGCAGATGAAGACCCTCCTCCTAAAATAAAACTTTGATCCCAGTTTACTTGAATGTCTTCCACATGTAACACTGATATACACTGATATACACTGATATAACTGTAAATAATTTTGAAGAATACTAGTATTAAGCAGATAGAGGTGATCTCAAATGTTCATCTTTGAACTTAGTACTCGTAATGAAACAGGTGCTAATGTTTTTGGATTATGACTGTTGATACATGCCTTTATTATAGTTTCATGAGACTGAGGATACAGAATTGTGAGCCAAAACAAGTCACAAATTAAAACGTTGTAATTAAGGAATGTTTTCAATTTTTTATGTGAGTTATTGGTTTGTGAATTACACAGACTTGTCACGTAGGCATCTTTAATGAAGCGCACTAGCGCTTCATGAAAAATACCGGTATGCCTACGTGCAAGTTTGACTGTATGATTCACACACCAATAATTCCAATCTTGGTTTTATTTATTGATTCCCTGTGTTTGATTGAACGAGCAAAAATTCAAGAAAAAGTTTACACATCGATGAATTTTTCAATCAGAACTACTTTCTTGACTGTTGTAAAAACAATGAAACAGATACTTCTTGTCCGTTTTAGCTAAATAATGATAGCAAGAAACTTAAAAATAAAAAATGAATGAATGAATGAATTAAAAGGATACAAACAGGACTGACAGACGGGAATATTATGTTTATGTCACTGTCGGATCAAGAGTGTGAATTTTTAAAATCGCTGATCATGCTATCATTATCTCGACGTTCCATATCAGCTCAGTTGGTATCGTTGTGATAGGGAAAAGAAACGTATATCAGACTCTTGTCTTTTCAGCATCAAATTCATATACATGTATTTACATCCTACAGATCCCATATTCTCCCTAAATCTTTGAGCGAACCAAAGCAAATCGAGGACGTCGACGTTCTGCAACTTTCGCTATGAGCGTTGGGAACATACTAAAGACCTGATATACTAAAGACCTGATATTTGACCTGATGAAAAAATATATCATATAAATTATCAATTTAATCATTATATTTCATATTTCTTGGGCAAAAATATTAATGATAGTAGGTAATATAATACTAAAATACACTTTTATTGGATAATAACTATATTTTTTGCTATGTATTAAGATATTATCACAAAACTTGATGACCTGGTAATTTGGAATGACCTGATATTTTTATTTTACAGACCTGGTATTTTAAAATGGAATGGAATTGCTGAAAATGTTCAAATTTAATAAAGTTTAAAATATAAATCTGTTTTATTTTCTTTAAAATATAAGAATATATCAGGTCATTAATTAAACCCCATCACATCATTTAAAAATATCAGGTCATTAAAAATTATCAGGTCTTTTGTAGGAAATCATCAGGTCATTTCAAATCATCAGGTCAATTCTTTTCTTAATAGTGGCAAAAAGATTTTTCTCAAAACCATTTAAAAAGTTTAATTTTTCTAAAAAGAATTTTAAAAAAATATCAGGTTATTCAAAACCTTTTGTTGGAAGTCATTTATGAAAATACCAGGTCTTCACTAGAAATATCAAGTCATTCAAAATATCAGGTCAACAAGTTTTTGTAAGAACACCTTGATACGAAGGAAAAAAATCTCAGTGTTATCTCCTAAAAGTGTATTTTAGCATATTATCATCAATAATTTACGACAAAAAAATTGAAATAGAATGTTTTAATTGATAATTTTATGTGATATTTATCTTTTCATCAGGTCAAAATATCAGGTCTTTAGTATATCAGGTCTTTAGTATGTTCCAGATAACACTGAGATTTTTTCCCTTCGTATCATGATAAGGTGTAGTCCGAAAAATCCGACGTTTTTCTGGCTTTTTTTTACGATTTTGAAATTTTACATGCCAGGAAAACGTCAGAACCGGCGCCATTACGAAAACTGGGAAATCGCCGCCTCCAACCAGAGGCGGCATTCAGAGGTTGATTTTCAATACTTGTAAACCGAATTAAATGCTGAATTCACATTTTATCAATAGTACAACACCTTTAGTACTCACCAACATCGTTTTTATGTTCCGTTTATAAATAATATAATCCGATGAACACATTTGACTGACTGTTGAGATTTGTTTTCATTTCGTGCATTTTAAAATCGTGCAAGTTCTGAATCGGAATGAGGAGCGGTAATTTCTATTCATTAATATTGGTAAGTTCTAGGAGCATTGTGCCATTGATAAATTGTGATTTCGGCATCTAATTCGGTTTCCAAGTATAGAAAATCAACTTCGGGTGGAGACGGTGAAATTTCCGGTTTTCGTAATGGCGCCGGTTCTGACGTTTTCCTGGCATGTAAAATTTCAAAATCGTAAAAAAGCCAGAAAAACGTCAGATTTTTCGGACTAGATAAGGTGTCGTTGTCGTTAATGTCAACATGGCCATGGTCAAGGATGAATTATTCTGAAGAATGCGTGTATTTACGATATTTGTTGACCTAAACAACATTCAATGAGTTTTCATAAGTTTATTTGTTGATTGTTTTGACAATTTTAGCTGGATTTTATCGTTATTCATCTTGTATACGTTTCTTTGCGGCATAAGTATTCCTACGCCGTACAAAATAACGGATTGTATGGCGGCCTCAAAGAGAAATAACCTTAATAATTTAAAAATTCGTAATTGGTGTTATTAGAATTAAACGTTCTTTTTTCAGAATTTATCGATGTGTAAACTCTGCCTTTTTACTCACAAACTTTACATAAAAGTGCTTCGCACTTTTATTCAGTTTGTGAGTAAAAAGGCAGAGTTTACACATCGATAAATTATGGGGAAAAAACGTTTAATCCTATAATAATTCACCCTTAATGACTTATTAACTTAAAAACATTCTTTATCTTTACATTTTCAATGTCTAAAAGCATAAAAAATATACTCAATATTTGAATTTCTCGCTGCCCTATTTCGTTATACTTTACTTTATCGCTGCATGTAGCCTCATTGTGACGTCACGTGAACGCACGTTTCTCCGTGAATATTTCTATGCGTGAGTATACACGGAAATGATTTTCAAATCAATTTCACAGTTGGCTTACTAGAAAGACACAACAAATGTAAATATTGTATTTTATTACATGATTGTAAAAGAAAGAAAACATTGAACTTCGTAACTGCTCTGCTTTGTTTTATGAACACTTTGTGGAATCATAGAAAGAGTTAAGTCATCAAACTGCTTCACAATAATCTTCATTGATATTTTAAAATTCTAGGTTAACAATTCAAAATTGATAAGAATCTGTGTAGTTCTTCCAGTTTATATTAATTACATCCTTAATTACATTCTTAATGTTTTTGTATAAAAGAATGAGTTGTTTCATTAATGAAATAAAACATAATTTGCATCAGTATCCGAATGCTAAACGCTCATCCTGAATGTAATATATTTCTATAGAATGCTGTAAATTTCTGACTGTCCCTTTTAGGTTTTCTTTATTAATTAATCTGTGAAGCAGTAGCTGAGCCTATAAATGACTGGAGGTTTCCTTGCGGTTGGTACTATACACTCACTGTAACTGAAGCACTGGGTAAGTTATCAGGAGGACTGTTGATTTCCTTGTGCATTGAGGGAGGCATCACAATTCACAAGTATCTTTATTACTATCAAGGTTCAGGTGAAATCCTTATTGTTCCTGTGAGTACTATATAACAGAATTACTGTCAAAGAATCTAAACGCCTGGAAATTCCTATCTTGTTTCCATGCTGGTCATAATGTAGAGATCGGAAACACTGTTCACAGAAAAAGCTGGGATCCTCAGGAGCATGCTCACTGTTGTATGCCATCCATCTATAATGTAGAACAACTAATTAAAGAGCAAAACAGAGGACAACTAATGAGACAACAAAAACGGGACAAATAATTAAACAACAAAATAAAGCACAAATAATGAAACAACAAAATACAAAAGATATATATGAAAACTCACTAACAATTACTCATTCAACAACCAAGTATAGTTCTCTCACATGAATCTCAACATAATCTAATACAATTTACTTTTTAAAAATATTTACCTTGAAGCATGCATTTGGCAGACTCTGCATTTGGTCTGGTTCTTTAGACGTTTGTGTGTTACAAGAGGATACTCTCTGATATCTTGTGTATCCTGAGGACTTAATATCCTAGAACAAATTAAATGGCTGTAAATTACACTTTAATTTTCAAATTAATGTTGAACTGGCAAGCATGTTTCAGGATTATTAAACCTACACAATTATCATTTTGTGTACAGGTAACTCTGAAGAAAACAAAAATATATCAGAAATTGTAAATAAAAAAATGATATTTTTTTTTATTTTGAATTTTTCCAGGAAAAGAAAATTAAATCAGATGGTACCATTCTAAGCATACAGTTCAGACACTTAACATACAGCTATGTGTTTCCACATTTTTTTAACCTACACTGTATGAGTATACCTGATATCAGAGAATACAATGAGGTGTTCACAGTCCCCCTGGTGCATGTAAACGTAGGGTTGTCCCAGTCTGAGGGTCAGGTCCAGGAATGGCGTGTCCTCCATGGAAGCTGTCTGCATGGCTCCTATCTCCCGGGCCGGGTCCTTAGCCCAGTCACGAATCACTCTAAAATAATATAATATTTTTAGACTGTCTCGAATTAACTAACCTGTTCTCCCACCTTCACTCCCACTTCATGTACACAGTCAAAAATCAAAGGGAGAGACAGAGAGAGAGTGGAAAAAGAAAACCATCATAAATTTACTAACTTTACTTTCAAACTTAATATATTTTCTCATACTTTGAATATACAACATTTAATTTGCCATTTCATAATTGTATGATAATTCTACCAGATTATGTACATGTTAAACTTAACAAAAAAATTCTATATTTACTGGCTGTAGTCAATTGCACCACTGTAACGGAAATCATTGTAAAAACACCCTCAATGTAGAAAAACCCAGATTTGTAGAGATCCTATTATAAAAAAAGTAGGTAAAGACATATTCAAAACAGAAGAAATGAAATGAACATAGACATATGGTGAAATACTGTTGATTCTTTATTTATTGTGAAACTAATTAGTGAATTTTTGGATTAAAGCATTCTGAACTCTGTGATATGAATTGAATTAAATTCAGGGTGACTCTGTGTTTGCATTGATTGTACATGTGAATGTTGTTTTACATCCCATTTAAAAATTTTGCCACTCATATAGAGATGTCACAATGTACCAACGAAGGACTTCAAATTAAGACATTTACTGAAGCATTCATGACCATTGAGCAGTGAAGGTTCTACATTGTACCAAAGCCTACCATGACCATCTCCCCAAGTCAAGGGTTTTTGATCCGCTCACTCAAGGGTTTATTGTTTACTGGATCAGATAAAAACCCATGAATTGGGAAGATAACCGTGACTTGAGACTTTGTTTATTAGGGTCCCATTAGAAAAACCAGTGACCCTTTAAAGTGCGAGGCATTACAGGTTTGAAGGTGTGACAAACAAGAACCAAATCATGGGTGGTTTGTTTTGCTATTTAGTATACATGTAGTTTAAGAAGTATTTTATTCATAATATACAAAGTGTACAATATGAATATGGATTGAACAGCAGGCCAAGGGCCTATATTAGTTCTCCACATGTACCTTCACTTGGAAAACTACTGATGATTCCTTAAACAATTCATCCCTACGATGGAGCTTCAACCAAGGAAAAATATGACCAATTTGACCCAAACATGAAACCAAAACCATGGACCAAGAGTGCACAATTTTACTTTATGTAGTTTGTGTGTTCATAATTAACATTGACATCCATAGTTAATAAGGCTACTGAAAGAATTGTTTTATATCAACTGACCTAGCAGTTTCCTCCGAAAAATCAACGAAGGCTTAGAGGCTGCAGTTAAGTATTTTGAACACAGATCCAATTTTGCCTATAACTAAAGGGTCTGAACAGCAATGCCCCTGGACACAAAGGTCACAAATTTCACAAACCAGTGGACTCTGGCTCCAAGGGGATTTGGGCAATGATTTTAACATTTTTAGTTTTACTTCATCCAAGAGAGTGTCACCTAAAAATAAAAAAACTAATTTCCCAGAATTTGATTAAAGAAATGTTCTTCAAATATAAAAGTGTTTTAAAGAAGCTCGAAATCAATTTAGATTTAAGATTCCATTTACACAAGGTTCTCAAAATATAAAGTAAGGAAATGTTTTAAACCCACAAAAGTATTCCTCAAAAGGTTTATCACCCCTCATGCAGATTTTGATTGATTTAGTCGGGCAAGCTTTTTTAAAAAAACTGTTACTTGTTCTGCATCAAGCATTAGAAACCTAAACATTTTATTCCCAGTTTATTTATATCATATCTGATCCCAAAAGTTGAACTCAATACATTTATTACATTTATATGTGCTCTTAATCTCCCTTATACTGGTAATCTGTCGAGGCACAGTAGATTGTTTGTATTTAAATCCCAGTACACATCAACCAGGAAGTAAAATACCTAACAGGTAATAATACAGGTGTCATGTGATCAAAGTACACAGAGATAGTCTATATAGAAAACACCTCAAGAAGACACCCGCCATTACTATCCGAAGTCAGGTAATACTTTCTTTCACTTGTCATTTGTGATTCCCATTTATATCCACCTTCAAATGCTTGAGCTGTATAAAGTAAATGTGATAAAATGTGCTGTCTATAAGAATAGAGGGGTTCAAGTAATATAACATGAGTCTTTTTGATTCAATTTTTATTGTCTTTCTTGATTTGAAAATACAGTGTAAAACTCTCAGAGGTAATTCAATAAATTATAATCTATTTGTTGCCCACTTGGCATAATGGTTAGAGCGTCTTATATTGCAATATATCTCAATATAGAATTCACAATCATTTTTGCCTGAATGGCCCAGTAGTTAAAGATCTAGAGTCGCAAAGTAAGGAGTTGATCATAACGTCGCGGGTTCAAATCCCATAGTGGGATGTGGAGACCAGTCAAACAGATCAGACCATGTAAACTGAGGTCCCTAGGTGCTAGCATGAAAAAGATCCCTCCCTGCTCAATGGTCCTGTGCTGAGTATAGGGCTAAATTTGCACCTCTCTACCAACAAATGGTGGCCTCTCCATATGAAGGAAAAATTCTCAAGAGAGATCTTTCACAACATACAAACAAAGAAACAAAAAATGATATATTTGTATCATTTACAATTTTAATTCAATTTCAGGGCAAAAGTTTTGATTATGGACCCCCGTACCAGTGCCCAGGACGTGATGCGATGTGACCTGTGTGAGACCGCTGTGGTACAGATGCACTGTGATACATGCTTTGTCAACCTGTGTACAGCTTGCGTAGGAATACACATGATATCTGATCAATCTATCAGTCACGAAGTTGTCACTTTTCAGACCAGAAAATCCACTTTCATTTACCCTTGATGTGTAACTCATGACAAAGAACGATGTAAAATGTACTGTAAACAATGTGACATTCCTGTCTGCACTAAATGCATTGCATCTGATGAACATCTAGGTCACAAATTATCAGAACTATTACAAATTCTGGATGACAAAAGAGACAAAATCATCCAAGAACAGACTGAATTAAATGATACAATTTATCCAACCTACCAGGACATTGCCTCTGATGTACAAAACAGCATGAGTCAGTTAGAAAAGGAATATGGAGATCTCTCAACAGCCATAACAAAACATGGAGAGGACTGGCACAGAAAAATTGACAAACTTGTCAAGAAACTTAAAGCTGATGTTGATCAGATGAAAAACACACAGATACAAACTCTACACAAATATCTGGATGAAATAAACAAGACAATGTCTGATATCAAGGATGAAATAAATTCACTTGAGGATGCTTTAGCCTCCAACGACATATCCAAAGTCTATAGTGTTAAATCAGACATAGAAAAATATAGGAAGCTTCCACCAAAATTTGAACCTTCTTTACCAAAATTCACAGCAGGAAAAATCGAAGAAGACCTTAACAAACTGTGTGGAGTCTTATCATCAAGTTCTGTTACATCAGATAGACATGGCTACAGCATGAAGACAAAACAAAAATCACCAGAAGCTGGATCCTCTCCTCCAGTCAAACAGATACTTGATGAACCAGAGTCTGTCACCACCATAGACACCACCATAAAAACTGGGTATACATTAATTTATCCTTGCAATTTATCTTTATCTTTGGCCTGTCTGAGTGATGAAGAAATCTGGACAAGTAGAAGTGACAGCAGTACCATGAAACTCTACAGCATCAATCAGGGATCACTACTCAAGTCAATTAAAACCAAGTCAGGGAACTCGCCATCTGACATAGCAGTGACAAAAAGTGGAGATCTAGTTTATACTGATCACAATGATAGAACTGTAAACATTGTGAAGAATGAGAAGATAGAGGAGATGATCAGACTACAGAACTGGAAACCCGAGTGTGTCTGTAGTACCTCCTCTGGTGACCTCCTGGTTATCATGGACAGTAATGATGAAAAACAAACAAAAGTTGTCCGTTACTCTGGCTCCACAGAGAAACAAACCATTCAGTTTGATGATAAAGGTAAACCCCTCTATTCATCTGTTTTTTTATGTAACAGATACCTAACTGAGAACAGGAACCTGGATATCTGTGTGTCTGACAGTGGAGCTAGATTAGTAGTGGTGGTCAATCAGGCTGGGAAACTGAGATTCAGGTACACTGGACATACTCCTGCTCCAAAGAACAAACCATTCAGTCCACGAGGAATCACCACAGACTGTCAGAGTCACATCCTTACAGCTGATGCTAACAATCATTGTGTCCACATCATAGACCAGGATGGACATTTCTTCCATTACATAGACTATGGAATAAGTAGTCCCTATGGATTGTGTACAGATAATAATGACAATCTGTTTGTTGTTCAGTGGGGACGCGGAAAAGTAAAGAAAATCAAATATCTGATATAAAATCCATTACCTATGTAAATTACAGTCTGAACAAGATAATTGCAGGGAATCATAATTTCTGGTAAATGCACTGATAGAAAATTAAGCACTTTTAAGTTTTCTGGTGAATCAATTGTGTACATAACATGTATTAGCCTCTGGCAGAATAAAATGTGTCTACAGAGTATAGAGCCATATTCAGGTCTAGGCAGCCCTCACTTTCTGAGGATAGCTAAATTCAATGTGGTTGCCAAACTTTTTTTTTCCATCAAATATTACTCTGTATTAAATTTTTTTTTTTACCAAAATTTATATATATATTTTTTTTATTTTTATTTTAACTTTCACATTTATATCAAACAAGTATATACAAAAGTATGTTCATAAATATTTCTTCCTTCAAGTATCTATTATAGATAGCGTATACAAGTACTAAATTTACAAAAGGACATCCACATACACAAGTTCACATTTAATTACACACATGTGAAAGTTGTTTTAATATAGGATAGAAAAAGGAGGAGAAGAAGAAAGAGAGAGGAAGAGAGAAAAGAACATTAACAAGAGGCCCAAGGGCCACAGCGCTCACCTGAGCACATTGGGCTTGAATTTACCCCCCCCCCCCCTTCCAGGCATTCATCATTTGAACAAACTAGAATCTACACTACCTATGATTCCATATAAATATCACTAATCATAGCTTTGAAGTACTTGAAAAGAAGATTTTAAAAGGTTTCCCTATATATCCTTATGCAAAACTTGGGTCGGCCATTTTGGCCCCACCCTATCCCCAGGGCCGGGGGTCATGATTTGAACAAACTTGAATCTACACTACCTGAGGATGATTCCACATGAGTTTCATCTTTCCTGGCCCAGTGGTAATTGAGAAGGATTTTTAAAGATATTTCCTATATATTCCTATGTAAAACTTGGGTCGGCCATTTTGGCCTCACCCTTGCCCCGGGGGTCATGATTTGAACAAACTTGAATCTACACTACCTGAGGATGATTCCACATGAGTTTCATCTTTCCTGGCCCACTGGTTCTGGAAGAGAAGATTTTTAAAGATTTTTCCTATATATTCCTATGTCAAACTTGGGTCGGCCATTTTGGCCCCACCCTTGCCCTGGGGGTCATGGTTTGAACAAACTTGAATCTACACTACCTGAGGATGATTCCACATGAGTGTCATCTTTCCTGGCCCACTGGTTCTGGAGAAGAAGATTTTCAAAGATTTTTCCTGTATATTCCTATGTAAAACTTGGGTCAGCCATTTTGGCCCCACCCTTGCCCCGGGGGTCATGATTTGAACAAACTTGAATCTACACTACCTGAGGATGATTCCACATGAGTTTCATCTTTCCTGGCCCACTGGTTCTGGAGAAGAAGATTTTTAAAGATTTTTCCTATATATTCCTATGTAAAATTTGGGTCATCCATTTTGGCCCCACCCTTGCCCCGGGGGTCATGATTTGAACAAACTTGAATCTACACTACCTGAGGATGATTCCACATGAGTTTCATCTTTCCTGGCCCACTAGTTCTGGAGAAGAAGATTTTCAAAGGTTTTTCCTATATATTCCTATGTCAAACTTGGGTCAGCCATTTTGGCCCCACCCTTGCCCCGGGGGTCATGATTTGAACAAACTTGAATCTACACTACCTGAGGATGATTCCACATGAGTTTCATCTTTCCTGGCCCACTGGTTCTGGAGAAGAAGATTTTTAAAAAATTTTCCTATATATTCCTATGTAAAATTTGGGTCGGCCATTTTGGCCCCACCCTTGCCCCGGGGGTCATGATTTGAACAAACTTGAATCTACACTACCTGAGGATGATTCCACATGAGTTTCATCTTTCCTGGCCCAGCGGTTCTGGAGAAGAAGATTTTTTTAAAATGCCATTAATTTTTAACAAATTCATGATTATCTCCCCTTGGAAAAGGGCGTGGCCCTTCATTTGAACAAACTTTAATCCCCTTTACCCAAGGATACTTTGTAGCAAGTTTGGTTGAAAATGGCCCAGTGGTTCTTGAGAAGAAGATGAAAATGTGAAAAGTTTACGACGACGACGACAACGACAACAACGACAACAACGACTACAACGACAACGACAGACAACGGACAAATTTTGATCAGAAAAGCTCACTTGAGCCTTCGGCTCATATCAATCACATATGCTCTGCCAGTTATCCTCATACTCTGTATATTTACACTGTTTCAGAAGTGAAAATTTCTCAATCAAGAATCTTTCCACAATAATTGTTTTTAAAGTCATTATACTTAGAACAGAAAGATTTTTATATTTAGTTGAAAAAATATAATTCTTAGTTATCAGTGTCATCAAATTTTGCACTTTATGGACATCCTTATTCTTATGTTTGCCAAATAATATTGTTGTTCTGTCAAAAATTACAGATATATTAAACTTACACAAAAACCACTCTTCAATATCACTCCAAAGCTCTTTTACTAAATTACATTCAACAAAAAGATGTTCAATTGACTCAATGTCAGTCTTACAGAAACTGCATGCTGGAGATTCTTTTATCTTAAGTTTAAATAGATATAAATTTGTTGGAACTATTCTATGTAAAATTTGAAATTGTAGCCACTGCAGTTTAGATTCTTTGGTAATTTTAAATGGGAGTTCAAAAATTTTACTCCATTCTTGCATGGTGAATAGATATCCCTTTTCATTCCATTTTAAAATGGAAGTACTTGTTTCTTTCTTTCTATCAATAAGAATGTCATACATGTCTTTACAGCCTTTCATATTGATGTAAAACATCTTCACAGAACTGGGTAAATTTGGACCATAAGAAAGAAATATATTCATTTGATTTTTGCTAACAAATCTGTCATACACAGCCTGTTTCAAACCAGAAAATTCAACAAAATTTGTTTTTACACCAAGGTCTTTAAAAGCGTCTAAACTTAAGAAATTATTATCTAAGTTGAACAAGTCACTTATGAAAACAAACTTTTTACCATATATGTACTAGTATATGTAATACGTATAGGTGGTACATTCTCAATGAATTAAGCTTCTGATTTTGGAATAACACAAGTAAAATTCAAACATCTTTTACATATATTTCGTGTATGAATTCTAGCACAAGAGAAATATTAATTGAAAAGAAATTAAATAATTAATTATATATATGCATTTTGAGATTCTATGCTATATATAGATATTTTACATTTTATTTAAATTTCATTTAACTCCCATTTGGGATTGTAGTGGTCCCTGTTTCAATAATCTGATTTATTTTTTTATTTACTTTCTTCAATCATTGTGGTTCAAATTGAAACAGTGGTTACTTTTTTTTTTAATTAACAGACAACGAATTGCCTAAACTAATCACAGATGGGAAAGCATTACACATAGACATTACTTTGTTAAAACTTACAAAAAATACTGTGAAATCACAGATTTTCATGGGGGTTTAAATTTCGTTGTTGTTTTTTAGGTATGAAGAGAGTCACGAATTCATGTCCACCACGAAATGTAAAATTTTTAATACATAACTCCTTAACAATTCTTGATCCACAAATTCAAATCCCCACGTAGCAAGATGTTTACTCAAACCACAAAAATCTGACCCCATGAAAATATGTGATTTTACAGTATTTTATTAAACTAAAAACCTTGGCATAGTGTTCTGGAGTGAAGTCTGGGTTTTCACTAAGGTCTCCTGCCAGAGCTAAATCATTAACACATGTGATTTTGTCTCTGAGGTCTGTCAACTTCTCACACCCAAGAACTAGAATGGTCTGCTGGAAGGAGAATCAATAAATTCATTGTGGATTTATATGACTTTGTATTTAAAGCAATATGAGCTACATTTCATGTCAGATTAAACTTGCTATATTATAATGAACTATTTCAATAGCAGAGAAAAAGAAAATTTATAATCTTCTGTTGATCATATTAGCGATGGATGAACTTTTTAAAACTATGATTGAAGAAAAATTGCATTTTTGTCATCCTGTACAATACTGATTTCTTAAATAATAATATTTTTTGATTGTACAGAAGTCTTCCTTCTGATACAATTTAAAGGCCGGTATACACGATGAGATTTGTAGTATAATACAAGTATTATAATACTTTTGTATCATAATACTTTCTCGTACTCACGCTAATACACATCTTATAAGATTGTAAATAAACTACGTATTCCAACGTGTTTTCCCCACCGTATTTCTCCCTCTGTCAAAGTAATAAAAATGGAGAATGAGGCTCTGATAGCAGTGTCTCTCATCGTACTATGCACTGCTTGATATATTCCACAAGTCCTTTTCCCCTTCCCATTAAGCCAAGAGTTTTTCGATGTCTCTACTTATAAAGTCGAGATTAATATTTACCATGTGCTTTTTTAGTAATGATAAAAATAGGATGACCCCTATTGGTTGAAAAAGAAAGGTAAGTTAAGACTTGTATTAGCAAATAGAGCATTGCTCTATTCTGAATACAGTTTTATAAGATTCGAAAAATCTTATGATACACTGTATTAAGAGTGTATACACAGTAAGATTTTGTATTTTAATACAAATCTTATAATACAAATCTTACCGTGTATACCGGCCTTAAAGCTGAACACGACGCGCAAATAGGTATACGCCATTTTCGATATCATTATCTATGATATATCAACACCAGGGTATACTCTTTAGATTCGTCACACCTGACTGCTTTAGTGTCACGGGTATCGGCGTGGAATGGCGACCCGTGTTCGAGCTGGTTATCTTGCATTGCTTTTAATTGTTTACATTTTATTGCAGTTACCGGTACTGTGTATCTCTGTTTGTTTGTATTGACCTATACAATTTTATTGTAAGTTTCTTTGACATCTTACTTTCCTGCATTAGACGAAGTATTACGTTATTATTGTCGCTACCATGTGCTGTATAGCATCCGTCCGTCTACACCAGTGTCGATTGATTACACTGAGCAGTGACAAAGTCCTGCCCTATTTATAGGGGTCTGCAGGTATAGCGATTCTCCGAACAAAAATGGCGGACACATTCCTTTTTCAAATCATGTTCAGCTTTAATGCTTTATTTTAGTTTAATTAAACATAAAAGTTTAAATTACATAACAAATTTGTCATAATAACACATTTTAACTGCAAAATAAATTCTCAAAAATGCAGCTCATATTGCGTTCAGCAGCCGTCATACAAAAATTCTTGGAAAGAACATTATCAAAGACATAAATTATGTGGGTTTTTTTTTTTTGGTTTTGTTAATTTTCTTAAAGCTACATGTACTTAATTAAATGCACATCATACATAACATAAGCAACCGTGCAAAATTTCCAGATCTCTACATTTCTGTTGTTAAACTTGCACATGTAATATTGTCATTAATAATGAAATAAAATCTTTATATCTAATTAAGGTCTTCCGTTTCCAACGGAAGACCTTCTACTGATTCTGATGATTAAGATTATTCTTATTATTCTTTTTTTTTTTCTTCCTAGACGCCAACTTTGACGCTTCATATCTTGCTCATTCCTGAACGGATTTTGTTCAAATTTTCAGAGATTTTAGACTTTTTAAAACCCTTTTAGAATACTGTTTCACAATTCGAAAATTACCTTCTATTAACGAGTTATTGCCCTTTGATTGAATTTTTCTTACCTCCGATTTCCAGACAAAGGCTCAGAAAAGATAATAATTGGAGCACAAAACGCTTTTAAATCGAGGAGAGGAAGCATTGAAGTTGTGCACATCGGTTTTTGTTTTTTGATTTTTGCATTAAAAATGGCGCTAGAGAGGGGTCAAAAGTTAGACCGCGGAAAACAGCAAAAAATTCGGCATATTTTCCTTTATATCTTAAAAACTAAAAATGTTTTGTTAAGACATGTAGAACAAAAGTTGTGCATAATTGCAAGGGCTTTCATGTAATTATATTCAAAAGGGGCTGGCTCCTATAATTAGGGCTCTATGGAACTTGAAAGTTTTTGCTTTATAACTCAAAAACGGTAAATATTTCGATCTAGATCTTACGAAAAAAATTGTTCTTTTACACCTTTTTGATCTGATGAAAATGCTGTTTTGTTCGATTATGCCGGGAATATTGCATAATATGCGGTAGAAAGCAGGCAAGGTAAACAGGTAGCGTTTTTCCGATTACATTCACCTTGTTTGTTTACAATTATATAACACGCCTCCCTCGATAGCGCGGGGCAAAGTCGGTCACCGGGAATCAATCGGCGGGCAATCAAGCGACCCACAGTTATACACAATTAAAAAACACAGAATGGTTAAATTCATTTTTTTTTATATATAACAATTGTACCTTAATACTATCTCTGTCCTATGAAAATATTATTTTGTTCGAGTCTTACGTATTATAGGAAAGAAAGCTAGACAGTTCTCATCTTGCAATTGAAGGAAAACTCTGTAGTCTTTATGCGCAGAATTGAAGTAAACTTGCCGTAAGTAATAAATATTTTACAATGCTGTATCATATCTCTTTTTTTAAATTAGGTTTTAAACGTGTTCTTTGGTTCCCGTTCAATGGCATCATTTTCCTTTTATTAATCAAGATCTTTCCAAGAGAAAGAGTTTTAGAAAAAAGCACGAGTATCTTTTCTTCGTTAAAATATGAACACAAACAATATGAACGAAAACGATACACGCCCGGATCTCATAAAAAGAACTTTTAAAGAGTCAAATAATACAAAAATTATTTACTGCGCAATTCTCACATTCACCTGGAACCCAGATTTTAAGTATGTTGACCATTGCGTAATCTTACGATTACATGCGTCCAAGAAAATCTAAAGCGACACGCCGCGGCGAACCATTGACCCCGCAGTCATAGGCAAAATAATTGGTGTATTAAAACCATTTTACAATTAATGAAAAATTATTATTGTCGGATATTTGAGATTAATATGTTGGCTTATCTTCGTTTTAAATTTGATTGTGATACATGTTTATCTAAAACAGCTATCTTGGTTTTGTGTTTGTTTACAATTACGCGACCAACCATTCCTTCCATCGCTTGTTGACATTAATTTACACAGCGTGGTCGAATGTTAAATCTTATTTTACAAACTTACGGAAAACATTATCTTCTGTAAGTAAATCGAATCTTTCAAAAATATTTTAAAATATCTTAGGTTTGACTTTAGAACAAAACGCTGGGGTATTTATTTTACATGTACATTAATCAGTCTTCATTTTTTATAGTTCATTAGCTCCATGTGTAATTTTACTTTTCGTTTTGACGATTCATAGCGTAAGGACTGACGATCTGCAGTTACTTTACTTCAACCAATATTGATTTAAATGCACAAGCTAGATTTGCGCTTTTAACACACAAATAAATCTGTTTTCAACACAAATTTTCCCAAACACATTTTTGTTCATCACAGATTTTTACCATGGCTATTTCAGTTTTAAATTTTAAAGAAAGTCTTCCGAATCATAAGGATCTATTCAGAATTTTACTCAATGAAATGGACTAAACATCGATAAGTATCTCCGGCGCGTTTAAACTTCATAAGTGACTTCAGTGCTGTACAATGCCTATTTATATTACACGTTGAATAGTCAAGTTGAAAAAATAATTCAAGATTTTAAAGCAATGAATTTTATTTGTTTTATAATTTATTCAAAACCTGTAAATGATTAGTATAGTGTGCTAACATTTTAATTTTGTTCCGTGATTTTAAAAATATCAGTAACAGGTTATACAATGTACATGTAAGTAGTAATAAACCCGCATCGTATGAACGGAATCGAAAATTTAAGAACTTGTAAATAACAATCTGCAGCTACTGAATATCACAAACTTATCATGTAATTACACACTTTTATGACCTAATTTAAACTGTTAAAATCATAACTGGCATCAGAGTTAAACATTTGTCTTATAATCGGCACTTAGGGCCTTTGAGCAGGGAGGGATCTTTTTTGTGCCAGCACCTAAAGCGACACAGGACCTTGTTTTATACGGTCTCATCGGAAGGACAGGTCCCCATGTCCCACAGTGGGATTCGAACCACGACGTAAGGATCAACTCCTTACTTCGCTACTATAGAACAGACGCTCTAAACGCTGCGCTCTGCGGGCGACCTTGGGGGATATAAAATGAAAACAATGAAGAAAACGGTTAGTAAAAAATAAGAAGGGGTCGTTTTAAAGTATTATTCTTACGAACTTCAGGGCAAGAATGAGAAACCATATTTATGAAAGCTTCCTGATATAAAAAAGATTACTTTTTTTCAAATCATGACTAGAGTTTTCCCTTGCAAAGTGATTGTGTATTTTGGGGGGTAGTGTGGATGGAAAGGGAATTAAACGGTCTGTTTAACTGTCCATATGTCTGTCTGCCCCTTAAAGTTTTTCACAGAAGATCAGGATATAACATAAAGAAACCAGAAGCTTGTACTCGATACAAAGATTTCAAGTGATCCTAGGATGTGTCATTGTATTTATTTATTCAAGGCAATATTACGGCAAATTCAAGGTCACTGGAGAAAGAATTAATGTTTTGTTGCATCATTTATATGTAATCGAGAATATCTGTAAGCTCATACTTGATACAGAGATTGCTTGTGACAAAAACGTTTTTTTTTTTTTTACGATTTTGACTCAGAAAACAGTTTTTTTTTTCATTCTGACTATATTTGTTTAATTAAGTCCATACTCGATACAAATTGCTTATAGTCCGCCGGTTTTCACATGACTTAAAATAAGGTCATTTTAACAAATTTAGGGCCAATGACAGAAAAGTTGTAAAACTCCTGTCAGGGTTATGAATTTCTAAAA